TTTTTATAACCTCCTATTTATAGTAAAACTCTAAAAGTGCCCCGCTAGGTCCAGAAAAGTGGAATTTGAGCACACGCGCTCAAATGGCAAAACACCGTGAACGAAAAAGAACCAAAATGAAAAAAAATGAACAACAAAAGAAACAGCGTCAAAAATTGAGTCCCGTGTAGAGAGATGCCCCGAACAAGTTCGGCGCTAATTAGAGCCAAAAACCCTAAAATTGGGGAAAATGACCGTGAGGAAATTCTAAGAGTACACGACTCAACGAAATGTGAAAATGAATCCCGTATGAGGATGCAGGCTCAATATGAGGATTTTGTAATAACTTTCATTAATTGCACAATGGCCCCTCCAAGAAAGGGTAACTGCAAAACTACCTAGAATGAAAATATCTTCCAAAAGATATTTTCTTAAAAACCCCTAAAATAAAAATTTCAAAATATATTTACGAAAAATACCCCAAGAAACATCAATGTTTATGAAGAATCCTTTCATCCACGCCTCTACGGGAGAAAGAAACAACTGGCGAGCTTTTCTCCAAAAGTAAAGTTACGCCTTTCGAGGAAATCAACTAGAATGAAAACTCGTGAAGTCAAAACTCAACTTTGAACATGAAAAGTGAGGTTATGCTAACAAAGTGAGAAACGGAGAAAAGGACGAAAAGTTAATGTCGAAAAACAAAAAATATGGAAATGATGCGGTCCTTTAAGGAAGTTGTCAATCTAAAGGAAAGAGTCTCGGAAACTATTTCTGAGCACTCGAGACGACACTAAGTGACGAGCAACCGAACTCAGAAAAAAAGTCAACGGAAAAAATTTATCTGTAAAAAATCTGAGAAGAAGGAAAGAAAGGGAAATGACTAGGTCATTACATCATTGGAAGAACCGAACAAGGACCGAACACAAGGTCACGCTGAGGAAAGGATCATAAAGTACTAAAGGACAACTCTAGAAGCCTCAAGATCCAACCGAAGGAACGCGAAACCATGAACCGAAAGAAAACATCTCACTAAACGAATTGACATACAACCGAACGTCAACCTCCTAAAGGAAACCAAGGTAACACATACCAAAATAAGGAATATGACCAAAAGCAACATGGCAGTACGAATAACGACTAGAACCCGCCCATAACGTACTCAAGGTACGGTAGCATCGATGGCAACTAGCACTCGCCCACTACACACAACTTGTACGGTAGCAAGACATTATAAAGCCCTAATTCATCACCTGCCCCTAACAAGTTTACCCGTGAAACCTATCAATACAAATGACATCAATATCCAAAACGATCATTACCAAAAGCACCACGGAAGCCAGGCATTTGTGAAAGTTTAGATATGGTCCAAAGATGTTCGGCCGAGCCATCTGGTTAATCCCAAAACTCTGATAACAATGCTATAGGTACCGCTACGCTTAAGACCTTAAATCCTCAATACTAGAAAACTGACAACCCTAAGTCTCAAAACACCGTTATCAACAACACTAGTCATGAATCCAAAGCCTGGCGAGTTTATGCCCCCAAGCAATTGGATCAGACTTTACGAAATCAAACAACATCACCATCGCCCTAGTCACAACGACTCCTAACAAGGCAATTAACCCAAAATCCTCTACGTCGTCCTAAAGCTGACCTACTACAAGGCTATGCCTAGGAATCAAAACACCGGATCAAGCTCACACACACAATCCCGATAACCAAGGTCACATACAGTACAAGAATGATAAAAACATGAACTAAACAAAATAATCAGTCATAAGACATACATATATAAGGTGACCATGTCACGACTCAAAAAATCAAATCTTAAAAACCAGATCGCACCATACAATTAAACACATAGTGCACCTGGGCAATCAAATATGCTACCTATCACATAAAGGTCAAGCATTAGAGATGTGCTACACATCGCCTATAACACTGGCATGCGAAATAGATATAGCAAATGAAAAACACATTATCTATATCATCACATAACTAGCAGATAGTCACGTATCCTAGACATGTTTCTAAGGCATGCTCAAAACAACAAGGAATCTAAACATGAAGAAAGGATTATGCAAATAACAATCTCACAAGTCAAAAGCAAGAAGGGATGAAATGCCTCTCAAAAGGATGAACTCTCTGAAAGTGAATCCCTAAAACCCTAATGTGTCCAATCTCTTACCATGAGGAAAGGAATCATCTCCCAGAATGAACCCTAAGGTTTCCAAAACAAAGAGTCTATAAGTCTTTCCCAAGACTAGCTTAAACCCAAGATGGAATCCCAATGCTAAACAAGACAAAACAATGACGCAATGGATAGTTCCAACACTAGCCATTATGAGACATCAACAGAGAACTCAACTCAAGATGCCAACAAGTTCGCTAAAAATTGGACAGGATTCAAACGGAACCCTAAAACACCACCCCAAGTCTAAAACGACAAAGGAGATATGCAATTAATTACACGAAACCACTCATACCCTAACAGTAGCTCGTAAGATCTATCCGGGGCAACACTAGAATGATCCTAGGTCAACACACCTATCCAAATCCCGAAACCATCGCCCTAAGAAGGCAAGACATGAGAACCTCGTTGCTGAGGCTCATAAGGTAACTTCCCAAATCCCCAAGGAAAGACTCGAGTCAATCCCGACTCATCGTCCCATGACACTAAAAACAAAGACCTCAATGATGTCATTATATCCAGGTCACCACGAAACCCAAGAGACAATACCAACTTGTTGGTCCTAAGGTCCCCTAGGTATTGTTTACCTCATCAATGTCAAAAACCTATTTATCAGTGGGCTCAAAGGACTTATTAATTCTCAATTTGCTTAAAATAAAGTTCAAGGGTAGTGTGGTCATTTTCTCATCAGCGATTAATCCTGTATAGTAGTCTTAGTGTGTAAATCATAGTGTGTCTATCTGTTTTAGCTGAAATTGCTATGTTAAGTGTGGACTCAGTTCATGAAAAGTTATTACAGGTGGTTTCAGGGGTAGCACTATCATTTCTTAGCTGTATTCAATATATATACGTATGCTCAGGTAGCTGCATTGCATTGGATTGGCTTGATTGAATTTGCATTGCTCTTTGAAAAGTCTCAGGACTTTTTCTTAGCTGAGAAGTTTAAAATCTGTTGCAAGGGTATTTTGGTACTTTCTTACTATGCTCGTGAGCGTGACACATTTTAGTGGTCCTAAAGTAAGTTAATATACAAGAATATTGCATTTCTTGGAAGCTAAGTCTTTAGCTGAATGAAATGTACAGCTTTGTAGTGTGTATGTGTGAATTCTAATGTGCATGGTGATAAAATTGCTGAAGTGGCCTTCTGTGATTGGCTCTAGCACCTGAAAATATCTGCATTGTGCTTTACTAATGATTGGCTAGAGGTGACAGGTGTATTCTGATGGTGTATGAAGTCCTGTGCATTGTGTGGCTCTATAAATATGTTGTTATAGCTATTTTGGGGTTAAAGCCTTTTGAGTGATATGAAAAACTGAGCTGCAGCCTATATTCTCTCAAGAATATTGAATGGACTTGATTTTTTAAGTGTTTTTATGATGATTCATGCTATAAAACCTCACTGATTCAAGCCTTGCTAGTGTATGTTTACTGAGGAGATGCTGTTGCTATTGTTATTGCTGCTGCAAGGGTTGGACTGAGTATTGAATTCAAGTTCGAAGGTGTTGTGGTCTAGTCTCAGGGTTGACACAGGTATAATTCACCTAGTTACACTTACTCAGTACAAAGTTTTGTTGAAAAACATGCTAAAATCAAATTTGGACAGTGAGCTCACCTGTGTTGCTTAATTTGCTGACTGATTCTTGGATTCAAGCACTGATTGATTATGCCTTGCTATATTATGAGATTTTAATCTTCTAGCAAGTATATTTTGATGAATCTAGACTGTTGAAGTTGATTTTGTGATAGAATATTGGTTAGCTACAATTTTCAGTATTCAAACCCTAAGGCTTAAACTGTGTTTTACTGAACCAAGGGCTGCAATGAACTTTTTGATCTTCTCATGCTATGATTCATTGTTTAAAGCTATAATCATGAGTACCACAGTGAATGAAGATTGAGTATGATGCTATTGAATGAATCTTGAGAGGAAATTCCTATTTTACCCTTCAAGTACTAAATGCTGTAAATTGATGTTTTAAATTGGTAATTTGGCATTCTTAGTTGTCTGCCCTATTTTAAATGTAGGAAGGACTTGTGTTTATTGTTTTACACCTGCTATGATGTATTTGGTGAGCTTAGAGAGCTTGTTTGGTCCAGGCAGGGTTGCCTAGGACAGGGGGAGTGTGTGTATACACTGTATTGAGCTAATGTGTGAGTAAAGTGTGTGAAAACTAGTGTCTACTTCTGTGATAAGGGTGTGCAAAGAGTGAGATAGCTGAATGTGTAACAGCTTACTTGCAGCTAGTGGATGACAGAATTGGCATTGGCCAAGAACCAAGGTTTTTCCTAATTGAGAAGGTTTCCTTGTAAATTCTGTTGCATTGCCTATTGCTTACTTGTTTTGATTGCTGTTAAGTTAATATTGAAAAAAGTTTGACCAATTCACCCCCCTTCTTGGTCCAACAATTGGTATCAGAGCTTTGGTCTGCTGTGTAGGGTTCTAGCAAGCCTGCATTTGATCTTAGCAATGGATGAAGGCTAAGTTACAAAGAAAGCTCCAGGGTTCAGTGGTGTGAACTATGATTCATGGAAAATCAGAATGGAAACATTCTTAGTGTCTCACTCTTATGATGTTTAGCATGCTGCTGTGTATGGTATTATGATTCTTAGTCCTGAAAATCCCTCTGAAGCTGATAAAATTGATGTAGCTAATGATAGTAAAGCCAAACATGTCTTTTACTGTGCTTTGAAGCAACAAGAGTTCACTAGAGTCAAGAATTGCAAGTTAGTTAAAGAATTATGGGACTCTCTTCAGGCTGCTCATGAAGGAAGTACTATTATTAAAAAAAATAAGATTCAGCTCTACAAAGTTTAATATGAAGCTTGTAAGATGGAGGAAAGGGAAACTGTGGCTGAGTATTTGTTTAGGATCAATGACATTGTCAATAACATGAAATCCCTTGGTGAAGACATTAAAGACTCTGATGTTTGTAAGAAGATACTTAGGTTTCTTACACCTAGATTCAATGCAAAGGTTACAATTCTTGAGGATAAAGACTTATCTTAATTGAAGATTAATGATGTATAAGTTTCTCTTATAGCCTATGAAATGAGAATTGGAACTCTAATTGTTCAAAGAAGAGAAGCTGCACTTAAAGCCAAAGAAGTTACTGAAGAATCTGAACGAAAGTCTGAAGAAGATGATCTTGAAGAGGATGAAGTGGCCTATATGTCAAAGAAGTTCAAAAAATTCAGGTTTAAGAAGAGAAGTCAATCCCAAAATCTAACTTGTTATGGTTGTGGCAAGCTTGGCCATTATGTCTCAAGTTGTCCAACTTTAAAAGGGCAAAACCAAAGGAAGAAAGAAGGGGGAAACTTTAAGGGAAGATTTGGAAGGAAGGCTTTTATTTCAGATTGGGATTCAATTTCTGAAGAAGATAAACCTGAAGAATCAAAAGAAGATGAGTGTTTGTTTATGGCTATTCTTAAAACACCACAGACAGCAACTGAAGTTGAAGAAGGTAGGGAAGACAGTGACTCAAAGATTGAAGAAATACTTAAAGAATGTGAGAGATTTGCTGTGAAGTGCAATCAACAAAAGTCTCAGCTGAAAGCCCTCAGTTTTGAATTACAAAAATCCAAACAACTTCTTGTTAAACTCTTCAAACTTAAGTTGTCAACCTTGTGTTCAGTTTCTCTTATCTTCTCAAGTCTAATGAAGTCTCAATCCTATACTGAATGGTCAACCAAAAGATGTAGAGAAGAAATCTCACTGATTCTTGAAGAAAGGTCTATGAAAATGATTGAGATTTGGAAGCACTACACAAAGCAAATCGGGAAGACTGGAATTGGTTACATCTGTGACACTGTAACTAAAGTTAAACAAAATGACACTGTGTTTGTTAAGGCACCCTCAGGTGAAGTATATGCAAGATTTCCAATTATAAAACCCTCGAGATCAAATTATGATTTACTTGACAACACCTATAGCAACTTAAGGTTGAATGAAAGTGATTTTGTCACATCATCCTTCAGGAATTTCAAAGTTACCAAAATGTATGTGAAGAAGTCTGACTTAACTCAAGTTCAGAAAGTCAAAGATAATAGATCTCTTGTGAAGTCTAAGATGATGTGGATACCAAAGAGAATGAATGATGTGAGTATGTTAGTGTATACAACTTTTAAAGCTGGTAACACTAATGACAAATGGTATGTTGACAGTAGTTGCTCAAGACACATGACAGGTGATGGTTCCAAGTTTGTTTCTCTAAAAAACTTTGATGAAGGAAATGTTATCTTTGGAGATAATCAAAAGGCCAAGATAATTGGTATTGTGACTATTAGTAAGCCTGATGAATTTCCTGAGATCAAAGAGGTATTACTTGTTGAAGGCCTCAAACACAATCTTCTAAGTGTGAGTCAACTGTGTGACAATGGGAAGAAGGTGTGTTTTGATAAAGAGAAGTGTAATGTTGTTGACATTGAATTAGAAAAGGTCATATTCTCAGCTTGCAGATCCTCTAGAAATGTGTACACAGTCTATGAAGAAGCTACTTACTATAATTTGACCTCTCTAGATGAAGCTATACTGTGGCATAAGAGACTCGGTCATCTTCACTCAAAAAATCTAATCAAAATCCTGAAGTTAAAAGCAGTGAAAGGCCTACCTAATTTAAAATTCAGTGATAATCATCTCTGCAAAGCCTGTCAACAAGGAAAATAAACTAAAGTGTCATTCCCTTCCAAAGAAATCAATACATCCAGAGCTTTTGATTTGATATATATGGATCTCTGTGGTCCTGCTAGAACTACAAGCATTGGTGGAAGTAAGTATTTTATGCTACTCGATGATTTCAGTAGAATGGTGTGGGTTTACTTTCTAAAGAGAAGTCTGATGCTATAACACACTTTATTAAGTTTGTAAATCTTGTTGAGAATGAAAGAAGTTGTACTGTGAAGAGGCTTAGATTTGATTTTGGTTCTGAATTTACAATGAGGGAATTTGAAAGTTATTATGATGTAAAAGGTATCAAGAAAGAGTTCTCAGCTGTAGCTACTCCTCAACAAAATGGGGTTGTGGAAAGGAAGAATAGGACTGTTTAGGAGATGGGGAGAACTATACTACTTGAAAAGGTCTTGCAAAGGGATTTTGGGCTGAAGCTGTTAATATTGCTGTGTATATCATCAACAGGGTACTTCTTACACCTAATTCATCTAAAACTTCTTTTAAACTATGGTATGGGAGACCTGCAACAGTTCATTACTTTAAAATGTTTGGCAGCAGGTGTTTCATTCTCAATCATATAGAGAACTTAGGGAAATTTGATTCCAACGCTGATGAAGGGATATTCTTGGGATACTCTACCAAAAGCAAGGCTTACAGATGCTATAATCTCAGATCCTCCAAGGTTATTGAATTAATTCTGTTAAATTTGATGAAACTCCTCAATTCAGCATCAATGATGATAGTAGTTCTATACCAGGATCAACAGAAGCCAGTCCCTCTCATTCTGTTCAAGGGTTAAATGAGTCTGTTAAATCCACTTCAGGACTTGATGATCATAGGGAGGTCATTTATCCAGAATTACAGAAACAAGTTCAAGCAAAAACGTCATTGGTTCTCCTCAGGCTGGTGTTCAAACAAGAAACAAGAATAGACTCAATGAATGAGAATCTGATGATGGTGAAGAATATAGTCATTTTGCAATGTTATCCTCAATTGAACCAAAGTCTTATTCTGAAGCACAGAAAAGTGAAGATTGGATTGTTGCCATGAAAGAAGAACTTGATCAAATTCACAAGAATGACACTTGGACACTGATTCTTAAACCTGCAGCTAAGAATGTTATTGGTTCCAAATGGATTTACAGAAACAAGTTGGACGAAAAAGGGACAGTTATCAGAAACAAAGCTAGATTGGTGTGTAAAGGATACTCTCAAAAAGCTGGTATTGACTATGATGAAACTTTTACCCTAGTTGCTAGGATGGAATCCATTAGAATGCTCCTGTCTTTTGCTTGTCATAAACAAGTCAAAGTGTATCAAATGGATGTTAAGTCTGCCTTTTTGAATGGAGAGCTAAATAAAGAAGTATACTTGGAACAACCTGAAGTTTTTAAAGATCCCAGGTATCCCTCTTATGTTTTCAACTTAAACAAGGCCTTGTATGGTCTCATACAGGCTCCTAGGGCTTAGTATGAAGAGCTGCAACAATTCTTGGTTGAACAAGGTTTTCATAGAGGAAAAGTAGATAACATTCTTTATTTCAAGCTTCATTAAGATTAGTCTCTTATTCTTCAAATCTATGTTGATAACATCATATTTTGTGGCTCAGATACCTCTTTAGCCTCAAAGTTTGCCAATTTAATGAAAACCAGATTTGAAATGTCACTTTTGGGAACTCTCAGATACTTCTTAGGCCTTTAAATCCATCAAACTTCCAAAGGGATCTTCATTTCTCAATAGAAGTATACCTCTGAGCTACTTAAAAAATTCAATATGAATGATTGCAAATTTGTTTCAACTCCACTATGTCCTAATACCAAGCTATCTCTTGAGTGTACCACAGAATCTGTTCCCTCTACTCTTTGTAGGTCTATCATTAGAAGTCTATTGTGTCTCACAGCTTCAAGACTTGATATTATGTATTCTGTGGGTTTAGTAGCAAGGTTTCAAAGCAATCCAAGAATCTCTCATCTTCAAGCTGCCAAAAGAATTCTTATATATGTCAAGGGTACTATCTCCTATTGTCTACATTATATCTTCTCACCTACATTGTCTATTACAGCCTTTTCAGATGTTGATTGGGTGGATCCTTACCTGACAGAAAAAGTACATTTGGATGTTGCTATCTTCTTGGTTCCAACTTAGTCTCTTGGTTAAGCAAGAAGCAAGATACTGTCTTTTTATCTACTTCAAAAGCTGAATACATAGCTGTTTCTTAGGCTGGTTCCCAACTTCTTTGGATGCACACTACTCTTGCAGATCTTGGTCTTCAATTCTCAGGTCCTCCTAAGCTTTACTGTGATAATCAAAGTGCCATTGCAATAAGTAAGAATCCCACACTTCACTAGAAGAGCAAACATATTGACATCAGGTATCACTTTCTTAGAAACAAATTCCAGAAAGGTCTTATTGACATCACTTATTTTCCCACTGAAGATTAACTGGCAGATATCATGACCAAACCTCTTCTCTCTCAAAGATTTTCAACCTTTAGAGATTTTCTCAGGGTTATTCAACCACCTTTCTAAGCTTATCATTGTTGGTCCTTCTCACCTTTTGTCCTTCAATGTCAAAAAGGGGGAGAATGGACTGAAATAAGGGTAGTTTTTCAGCTATCCCTTTTCTTGATTTGTTGTTATTGTTGTTATGCTTAGTAATGTCTAGTATCACTTTGGTTGAATCTACTTCACTGAGGTCTTATTTCATGTTGAAGTTTTTGTCATTAAAGGCAAAAGGGGGAGATTGTTGGTCTTATGGTCCCTTAGGTATTGTTTGCCTCATTAATGTCAAAAACCAGTTTATCAGTGGGCTCAAAGGACTTGTTAATTCTCAATGTTGTTTGAAATAAAGTTCAAGGGCAATGTGGTCATTTTCTCATCAGTGATTAATCCTTCATAGTACTCTTAGTGTGTAGATCACAGTGTGTTTACCGGTTTTAGCTGAAACTGCTATGTTAAGTGTGACTCAGTTCATGAAAAGTTATTACAGGTGGTTTTAGGGGTAGCACTATCATTTCTCAGCTGTATTCAATATATATACATATGTTTAGGTAGCTGCATTGCATTGGATTGGCTAGATTGAATCTGCATTGCTCTTTGAACAGTCTCAAGACTTTTACTTAGCTGAGAAGTTTAAAATCTGTTGTAAGGGTATTTTGGTACTTTCTTACTATGCTTATGAGTTTGACACGTTTCAGTGGTCCTAAAGTAAGTGAATATGCAAGAATATTACATTTCTTGGAGGCTAAGTCTTGAGTTGAATGGAATGTACAACTTTATAGTGTGTATGTGTGAATTCTAGTGTGCATGGTGACAAAATTACTGAAGTGGCCTTCTATGATTGGCTTTAGCTCCTGAAAATATCTGCATTGTGCTTTATCAATGATTGTCTAGAGGTGACAGGTGTATTCTGAGGGTGTATGACGTCCTGTGCATTGTGTGGCTCTATAAATATGCTTTTATAGCTATTTTAGGGTTAAAATCTTTTGAGTGATATGAAAAACTAAGCTGTAGCCTATATTCTCTTGAGAGTATTGAATGAACTTGATTTTTTGAGTGTTTCTATGATGATTCATGCTATAAAACCTCACTGATTCAAGCCTTGCTAGTGTATGTTTACTGAGGAGTTGTTGTTGCTGTTGTTATTGCTGCTGCAAGGGCTGGAATGAGTAGTGAATTCAAGTTCAAAGGTGCTGTGGTCTAGTCTGAGGGTTGACATAGGTATAATTCACCTATTTTCACTTGCTCAGTACAAAGTTTTGTTGAAAAACATGCTAAAATCAAATTTGGACAGTGAGCTCACCTGTGTTGTTTAATTTGCTGACTGATTCTTAGATTCAAGCACTGATTGATTATGCCTTGCTATACTATGATATTTTAATCTTCTAGCAAGTATATTTTGATGAATCTAGACTATTGAAGTTGACTTTGTGATAGAATATTGGTTAGCTATAATTTTCAGTATTCAAACCCTAAGGCTTAAACTGTGTTTTGCTGAACCAAGGGCTGTAATGAACTTTGTGATCTTCTCATGCTATAATTCACTGTTCAAAGCTATGATCATGAGTACCACAGTGAATGAAGACTGAGTATGACGCTATTGAATGAATCTCGAGAGGAAATTCCCATTTTACCCCTCAAGTACTAAATGCTGCAAATTGATGTTTTGAAGTGGTAATTTGGCATTCTGAGTTGTCTCCATATTTTAAATGTAGGAAGGACTTGTGTTTATTTTTTACACTTGCTATGATGTATTTGGTGAGCTTAGAGAGCTTGTTTGGTCCAAGCAGGGTTGCCTAGGACAGAGGGAGTGTGTGTATACATTTTGTTGAGCTAATGTGTGAGTAGAGTGTGTGAAAACTAGTGTCTACTTCTGTGACAAGGGTGTGTGTAGAGAGTGAGACAGCTGAGTGTGTAACAACTTACTTGCAGCTAGTGGATGATTGAATTGGCATTGGCTAAGAACCAAGGTTTTCCTTAATTGAGAGGGTTTCCTTGTAAATTCTGTTGCATTGCCTATTGCTTAATTGTTTTGATTGCTATTAAGTTAATATTGAAAAAGGTTTGACCAATTCACCCCCTTGGTCCGACGCAACTCCCTGGACGTTCCCCGACCACGTCGTAAAGCCACGAAGGAAGGAAAATAAAGTGGTGCCTCGCTGGCCCGCGTCTCACTTCACCAAACAAACACTGTGATTCTACACTCACATAAGCTTTACTAGCTTTAACTGTCAGACTAAGGTCTCGAAACAACCAAACCGATAAAAAAGGACAGAAGGTTCCCGTCATGGGTCCTTATAGAATAAATTTCTCCTACCCAAGGAAGAAACTGAACAAGACAAGAATGCATCCAAGGGATATGACAAACCCCAAGAGAAAATGCCCTGGCATCGATCTCTACCAACTAAGCTAGAACAACATGCAATGTCAAAGCAAGGCATAAAAAGTAAACAGTTAGTATACAACATAGCAATGGACTACCTACTTACACAAGTAGTAAAAAATCACATAAGGTATGTTAGTGTATACGGAAGAGAACGTAAAGCATGATGACATGCTGCATATAATCATGCTAAGATGAACAAGCATATATAACATGTTAAGGCAAACAAGCATATACACATGTAAAGCAGACAAGCGTAAATAACACGGTAACACAGACAGACATGGACAATGTACTAAAGCTGACAAGCATATACAGTATGCTAAGGCTGACAAGTACGTATAACATGCTATAATAAACAACAATATACCATATGCTAAGGTAAGCAAGCATAAATCGTATGTTAAAGCGGTTAAGCTAAGCTTCTAAACAAGTTACCACATAAACAAATAGACATATTGCCAAGAAGCAATTAAACACATAGAGTATGGCAACACAAGCATGATACGCACCCAAAACCCGTCGTCCAAAGTATTCGAACCTAGGAGCTCTAATACCACCTATGACAGTCCTAGTTTTCAAGCCAGTGCGTCCTGTGATGACTCATAAGATGACTTGAAACAAATCTGAAATGCTAAAGGGAAAATAGAAACAAGGTCTCTAGGGATACACAACATCCCAAAGACGCCAAGGTGACCTTCCATGAAGTCACAGAACTTAAAAGAATCAAATGCGGAAGCTAAGATTATAAAATGGGAAGGGTACTTGACCAGGGGTAAAATGGTCTTTTCTAATGAAACTGGATGCAACTGAGCATACCATTAGATAGACAAGCAAATATTAATAAATCTAGACTCAAGAATCACTTGATTCGGAGTCCGGATGAAGAAGATATGAAACTCTAAAGTTTCATAAAATTAAACTTTTGGGTTTCAAATCAGTGCGGCAAGGGTACTTGACCAGGGGTAAAATAGTCTTTCCAGACAAAACTAGATGCAACTGAGCATACCATTAGACAGACAAATAAAAATTAATAAATCTAGACTCAAGAATCACTTGATTCGGAGTTTGGATGAAGAAGACATGAAACTCCAAAATTTCATAAAATTAAACTTTTGGGTGATCGGTGTCAATTATATCAACCAATTATAATCAACCCTTGCAATAGCACAAATCATTGTAAAATAGGGCTATCGTAGGGGTAAGTCAAACCATAAGGACTGCTAGTTTATGGCAACCAAGTTCTTTAAAATCACTTTTAGCTTGATGAAAGAGGTACAAGGTTTTGTTTGGTTTGTCACTTGGTACTTGGAATTAAAGATGCATAAAACAATAAATTGAAAGAAAGTAAGAGGAAAGGAACTTAGGTAGAGAGGACTAGGGAAGTGAATCAACTACCAACCCTATAAAAATGCTAGCTTATGATTAACTTGGGAAACAAATTAGATATATATGGCAATGATGTGTAGCAATTCAAGATTATTACACTACCTTTAAGAATTTCATAGAATCAAGAATTAAGCATAATCCCTCAAAGTTCCACATGCTTAACTACCTAAATTAGAGTGTAGCTTCACATAGTCACTAAGTTAGGGACTATCAAACCCCTCAATAAATATGGTGATAGCATATGGAGCCAAGAATTAAGAAAAGTCCATCAAAGGGGGACCCTAAGCCATGGACTAACAAGGTTCTCAAATACATGCCAATAAACACATTTTCACAATCTCATTTCCATTGTCACTATGAAAATGAAAGCAATATAATCATGAGAAGAAACAATCTAAAATAAGATAATCAACTCAAAATGATCATTTACAGACATTTAGGTCCATTACATCAAATGCAAAGCTCTAGATCATAAAAGTACCATATACACACTTTATTCCCCAAATTTAAACCAAAACTAGAACATGCTACAAGGAAGGGCTTCATCACCTCCCTAGAAAGGTAGTTAGTTACCCATAGATGCAAATGAGGAAGGAGAAGAGATGGCCACACCTTCTATTTTCGCACCTAGAGGCCAAGAACAACACAAACCCTCAAGAACTCTATATTTCTCCCTCTAGAACCCCTTACAATATGAGATATATATAATACATTGTATCAAGACTCTAATAATTTGCCATAGCCTTCCAACCACTCCATTTTCATGGCCCAAAACACCTAGAGAAGTGCAGAGCAATCCCCCCAATTAAGGGGAGAACATTAGGTGAAATAAAGAGGGCCAGGCTTTCTTGTATGCAAAATAGCGGGCGCCCACG